CGTCAACAAGTTCCAATAGTAAAACAGGCGTCTCTTAAAATACTGAGCAGGTAGTTGATTGACAACACAGTGGTGAAAGTGCGGTCCTGTGTATCCAAATGATACGCCCAAAGCCCTATGACGTGGGTTGGACCCTCTGCAGTCTCAGGGCATCACGGCCCATTGCCTGTGGAACAAAATGCGTCTTGGCAGAAGAAAGCTCTTGCAAGGAGCAGTAAAGGGAAGCCAAGTCCATGTGTCAAGGGAAAAGGAAAGTGTAAAGGTCTAAAGAACCAGTTGAAAACGGCTGAAAGAAAGAAAATGCAAACAGGTAAAAGCATCGCCAAAGCGTTCTTGCTTCTAGAAGTAAGGGGTAGCTAAGTTCATTTCCTAAGGCGAGCCAAACGTAACAGGGATGGTAAAGCCAGTGCCAAATATAATGTCCCTTCGTATTACAAAACACTTCAAATGGTCAGAAAGCAAATGCAAATCTGCAAAAAAATGTCGAAAACACAAAATTGCAACAGCAAACGGACAGCTTCAGAAAATGGTAGTGGAGTAGTGAAGCCTTGTACATTGCTAAAAACAAGCCTTGCGGCTGATTTCTACGTTGCTTCACTGCCACGCCTCCTGCGCGTTTCCCACCGGATTCCTTGGGCCGCACTTGTGAAGGTCGTGAATGCTACTAGTAATGCCCTTTGTTCCTAGTAGATTCTTGTTCCTAGTAGTAAGGCCAGGAGCCCCTCGTAGCGTTCCTAGTAGCGATGCCCTTTGCTCCTAGTAACCTAGTAGCGTCGGCCTAGGGCAAAGAGAAATTCAGGTCTCACCGTTGGCTTCTGGTATGCCAGGTTGTCGTCGAAGAATGCCCCAGTTTTTTTTCATTCCATTCAGGAAAAGCTCTTGCTGCCTGTCCCGGCACTGAGTTCACCACAATTCAGCTGGGAAGTGGCCCTGCCACAAGCCCAACTAAATCAAACAATCAACAAAGTGAACCCTGTCAGACTGCCAGGGTGCGACCTGAAAATTTACGTGCTATCATTCAAAGTCGATTTGTGGGAAGATATGTTTCTTCAATGAATGCAACGCGCTTGCCCGGAATTCATCTACTTGCCTGCGTGGTCACCTGAAGGTCAATGTCCTGCTTGCAAACCCTTTCCACCCAAATATTCTCACTGAAGTTTAAGAACTCTTCATTCGATTGGTCTTCAACATGCAACGGATCGGCCAGGTGAAAGATGGCTATCCATTCTTCAACATCAACCTTTTTCAAAAGGCTCCGTCTCACCTCAATCAAACATACAGCTGCACCAAATCTCTCCTCAACTCCTTGAAGCCGTAGTTGATTCTCTGTCTGCAGCAGCTGAAGCCGTTGTTGTTCAATCAAGGATTGCCTCAAGTGATGTCACAATGACTCCATGACATGACATTGCGTCTGTTTCTCAGGAAAACAGAAAGGCAAAATATGCGTTCTTCCACTTCCCCGTGCAAAAAAAAAGACGTTGTCTTATTGATCCCTTTCCATGGGTGAAGCATTTGATGAAAAAACAGTTCCTTGTCAAAGGTTCCGTTCTTTTCCAAGATGTTGAACCGGCTGAAAACAGTTCAAAGCGGTAAGCCGATGCCGATTGAAAAATTGGCGCCTGTTGAAGCAAACGAAGGATGGAGGCACTGGCAGTCTACATGAGTTCGGGACAAGAAAATATATATAATCTATAAATACCTCCAACCCCGTTTGAGGCCAATCAAGCAAAGTGCAGCATAGCTGGGCTGCCCAAACATGGTCTTCAGGCGCTCCATCTCGGTCCCTTGGGCACTCCGCTCTTCCTGTGCATCTCAGTCGTGTCCCACAACTTGAAAGGAGATTCAAATTGCCTTTGCAGTTAGATTGCCTTGAAAACTTAGAATGTGTAAAACCTGGAACGGTTTGAGGGACTTGAAGCAATTGAGCAAAATCTAATTGCTAAGCGTCATTTTCATCAACTCCATGGCCATATTACACGTGGGTGTACCGAAAAGACAGTTTGCTCTCCTGCAGCTGGCCGCGGAGGAGCTGCAGTTCACCACGAGCCTTCCAATGCATCGGACCAGAAAGGAAGTTTGCTCCTTTTCTTACAAGTGCCACCTTCCCTATCTGCATCCAGACATGGCATCTCAAGCCTCTGCAGCTTCTTCATGCAGCACCCGAATCTCCTCCGAGCGCCTGCAACAAATAAAGAATGGCTCAGTCCTCCATGTGCAATGACTCATCAATACATAAGATACAAACAATGAGCTGCATTGACGAGTCCAGCTTTATCGAAGTTAAATGCAGTTATAGTACCAAAAAGGCACTACACCGAGCTTTTGACCACTTGTGGTTAATCACTGAGTCTTGTAGGAGGTGCTCATAGAACTTCGTGTCTCAGCCCGCCTTTCGAGCTCTTGTGCCATTAGTCCAACGCTGTGTAGTTCACCCTCAAAGTTCCCTTTTTCCTTGCCAGACTACAAACACCATAAGCAAGCCTGTGTTGACCTCTTGTGATTTCACTGCAATTCAAGCAAGAAGCGGGCTCTTTTTCTCTCTCTCTCTCCCTCTCTCTCTCCCTCTCCCTCTCCCTCTCCCTCTCCCTCTCCCTCTCGGTCTCTCTCTCTCTCTCTGTCTCTCTCTCTCTCTCTCTCTTGATCTCGCTTCCCAAACTCTCTTTTGCATCGGGTAACACTGGAACCTGCTGAGTGTCCCGCCTCTTGCAATTGTCTTCGATCACTCTCTAACTTCATGGCCTAGCGGGAGTGCTCAATGGCAAAGATTGACAGGGCAGGCAATCAAAAGCTGAGGTGTGACCAGTGCAGCTTGAACAGGGACAAAGGCAGGGATGATGATACAGCACAACATGGACCCAGCTACTTGGAGGGAGGACTACAAGACACAAATGAGTTGCAACTCACTCTCGCGAATATGTGAAGGCCCGGAGACCACGATATTGCAGCTTCGCTGACGTTCTTTGAGTCTCTAGTCGTGCCTGGCTGGCATGGGATCTGCGCTTTTCTTCGAAGGCCTCCAGGTCATTCATGAGACATCTGCCTGAGTGGAACATCGGACTGTCAAGTGCGAGATGTTTTTCCTAGGAACAGGACTCCAGGACGCAGGATAGCCAGGAAGCTTCGGAGCTTCTTTGAAGAAACGCTCGGGTAAAACAATCCCGAGCAAGGCGTGGTTACTTGGAAAACAGAGACTTGAAACTCGTGGCAAGCAAATACAAGCATTTGCTTCTGAGCCTTTTTTAGCACAGAATCACAAGTCTCCCGGCGCTCGTTGGCCACCGTGGATTCCGTCTCCCGGATTCGCCTGGCAGCAGACTGCCTCGCCACCTGCACGTTCAGCCAGTCTTAGGTTGTGGCGTCCAAAGCATGTGCGCACCGTGCCAGCTCAGGAGATCTCCAGACTTTTATTTTGGGGGGTTCCTAGATTTTTAATAGGGAAACTTAATAGCGATGGCCTCCAACCTAGAAGCAAACTATATTCAGTTCTCATCATGGAAGGTTTGCTGAAAAAGTACGACTGCTTCCTGGTGAGCGACATCCGACATTAGTCCACTCTGCCGCCTCAATCTGCTGGTGCAAAGCCTTTAAGCGGTCAGTCTCAGACTTCAACTGCCTCTCCTGGACTTTGTGGTGTAGCTGTAGCTGTAGTGTGGTTTTCAGGGTTTCAGTTCAGTCTTCGGTCTCACACGTATGAACACAAAACTGGGTGTGATATCTATTGGTCT